TTAAAGACAGCTGGCTGACCCTGGAGAGGGACTGCAGTCTCTGACCCACAAGACACAGCTGGCTGAGATGCCCAACAGTCCCTGCATCTGCTGGTGGCCATGCTGGCCCAGGCACTGCCCAGCTGGCTGGTGCTCCTGCACAGCAGGGACCCGATGAGGGGAGCTGGGTGCAGCAACAACACTGTGCAGTGCAGGCTGAGACACAAAGGAGGCTGGAGGGGAGCCGGCCCTGTGTGAGCCCGGTGGGAAATCAGACCGCAGCTGGGCTCAGCCATTGCTGCCCTTAAACTGGTGAGTGGGGATGCCGTGGAGGTGCACCCTGAGTCCCTACTATCTAGCTGAAAGGAGCCGAAAGGCCAAGCCTGTGATGAAGAAAAGGGGTCTGGGGCTGACCCCTGGCACTGCATGTGCAATGCTGATTTACTTCTGAATGGCTCTGCCCTCTCGACAGAGCACAGAAGACAAACTGTCATCTCTGATTACAGGGCTTGAAGGAGCTGAAAAGTAAACTGACTGTGAAGCTTTGGCCTATGGTTAGAGTTTAGGAAGCAATCACTTTAATTAGGATGCAAATAGGGTGGAGGCAGGTGGCTGAACTTAGTCAGATGGCAATAACTAGTGTAAGTAGAAAGAATGTAATAACATCTAAAGTTCTCGATCAATGTGACTAGAAGCCGCCTTCCAGCAGAAGTGGTAGGAGTACCTTCATAATGCTATTAAAAATCAGTGGTTCTGAGATGCTGATGACAAAGGCAGAGAAGTCAGGTGCTAACTATCTTTTCTCATCCCTGATCTCCTGGTTGTCAGAGACAAGGTTCCCCCGACTGCTGACAATGTCTAAGTGAGACCTGAGAGGGAGCAATGAACAGCTCCAAGAGCATCTTTGCCGTCGTTACTGATGCTAAGTGGTACTGACTTGAGTCCATGGACTTCAATATGTGCAATGAAACGAAAATGTAAAATTTCATAGGATGTGAATGTGTTCCCAATTCTTTGAGAGACTCTAAGAAATAACACAGTAGAGGATTTCCAGCAGAGGGGCTTCATTTCTGTACTGTCAGCCTTTTGCCTTGATCTTTGGTTCAGTCTGTACATTCCAAGCATGTTGTAGAAGTACTTCTTCAAATTGAGGCCCCTAATATTATAACCTGTTGCCTTTGAGTCAATTCCGACTCATAGCGACCCTATAGTACAGAGCCCA